GGAGCTGAGAGATGAAGGATGTGAGGGAGGATGAGGGAGGAAGGAGGAAGGTGGGGAGATGAGGAAGGAGGTGAGGAGGGGGCGGAGCGGGGAGAGGCCACAGGAAAAGAGAGAGGAGGAGGGGAGCAAACGGGAGAGGGAGGGATGGAGGACGGAGGGGAGAGCAGACAGGAGAGACAGGACAGAGGAGAGGTGAGGATGGACCGGGAATGGAGGAAGGACAGAGATGAGGAGCAGTGGAGGGGACAGAGATGGAGCAGAGGAAGGGACAGGGATGGAGGAGAAGAGGGGACAGGGATGGAAGAGCAGAGGGGACACAGCTGCAGGAGCGGAGGGGACAGAGATAGAGCAGAGGAAGGGACAGGGATGGAGGAGCGGAGGGGACACAGCTGGAGGAGTGGAAGGGACAGAGGTGACAAACAGTGGAGGGGACAGAGATGGAGCAGCGGAGGGGACAGGGATGGAGGAGCGGAGGGGACAGAGGTGACAAACAGTGGAGGCGACAAGGATGGAGCAGTGGAGGGGACAGAAATGCAGCAGAGGAAGGGACAGAGATGCAGCAGTGGAGGGGACAGAGATGGAGCAGCGGAGGGGACAGGGACAGAGATGGAGCAGAGGGGACAGAGCTGCAGCAGCAGAGGGGACAGAGGTGACAAACAGCAGAGGGGACAGAGATGCAGCAGTGGAGGGGACAGAGATGGTGCAGAGGGGACAGAGGTGACAAACAGCAGAGGGGAAAGAGCTGCAGCCGCGGAGCAGACAGAGCTGCAGCCGAAAGCCCCGAGGCGCCGGCGGGGACCGCGGGGACACGGACCGCTCTTCCAGTCGCCGTGGCACATCTTGAGGTCGCGGCAGGTGCGGGCGGGGTTCTTGCGGGTGCCCTCGGGGCTGCGGATGTTCTCGATCTGCTGGCTCAGGCTCTTGAGGGTCGTGTCCACCTCCAGGTCGCGGTCGCGCATCACGTTGGCATCGTCGGCCCGGTAATAGCGGCCGCCGTCGTGCGCCTTCTCCTGGGGCGGCTGGGGCAGGAAGCTGAAGTCGAATCCGCCGCTGGGAGGGCCGGGAGGACCGGGAGGACCGGGGGGACCGGGRGGACCCTGCGGGGCGAGAGGATGGTGAGGGAGGAGCGGGCGATGAAGGCGGGCGGCTCCGGGAGGGCGGAAGGGTCGGGACGTACRACGGGGCCGACTTCTCCGGTGCGGCCGCGGGGACCGGGGGGACCGATGGGACCGGGCAGCCCGTTCAGACCGTCCTTGCCAGCAGCACCAGCGGAGCCAGGAGGACCCTGCGGGACGGGAGAGAAGGGTGAGCGAGGCAGGGCAGAAATGTCCCCTCCCGCCCCACGCTGCGGTGTCACGGCTGCGAACGGATGGCGCAGCTCGTCCCGGGACTCACTCGGGGACCGGCGGGACCGGAAGCACCAGAAGGACCTTGTTCACCAGGAGAGCCCTGTGACAATCGAGGAGGAAAAAGAAGCGACATCAGAGGTGACATCGGAGGTGACATCAGCATGTCGTKTGTCCCCACCGCCACCCCACGGGACTTACGGGAGGACCGGGTGGGCCCTGGAGACCGGAGAAGCCTCTGTGACCCTTCATGCCTCTGTCACCCTGTTCACCGGTTTCACCTTTGTCACCACGGGGACCTTGTGGACCCTGCAGGAGGAGGAGGAGGAGGAGGAGGAAGATGAGTTGAGCGGAGTCCAGGCCACTCACTGTCCCCACTCTTGAGGGGACACAGAGGCACCGAGGACAGAGGAGGACATCACTTACAGCAGGACCACGAGCACCAGCAGGACCAGGGGGGCCAGCGGGACCTTGGGGACCCTGCGACAGGAGAGAAGGGGACAGGTTAGAGCACCCTGCTCCTCCCTCCGCTGCTGAATCGGTTCAGCACCACCCTGAGATGCTCAGGGACATCGCCATGAGCGGGGTGGTGGCACCTGTGGCTTCTGAGCCCGGGGCCAGACCCCAGAACGGGGCCTTTTTGGGGATGTCCCCGGGCTGGGGATGGGGCACAGGGTGGGCTC